ACTCTCTGGTCGAGTTGGCAGGTTCTCCTGGGTTAAGCCTCGCTCAATGCCATGGGCCTTCTCTGGAGAGGCTGATTTGCCTCTTAATCTTGTCGAGCGTGCGTTGAAATGTTCCGGGGCACTTTTGATTCTTGACCACTCTCCAAAGCTTTGACTAACATTTGGCGCAGGCCTTTGGAAATTTGGGAGTTTCGATTGATCACACAGAGCTTCTTCGCTGTTGAATACTTGATCTGGACGATTTGGTGTACGATCAGATCTGCTTGTGGGCGATGCGACCGTCTGGTTTTCTGCTATCTTCTGTCTCCTTTTCCCAGCGCGCGGGCGTAAATTATGCTGTTTCAAGAATTCTCGTATCATTGCCGCAAGCACATCCATAATGCGTTGAACAGATTTGTCCGACTCAGGCAATTCATGGCCATCATTGTTGATATTATATGCCTCATTAGTATTTATGCGTATATAGAACATAGGCCACTTGTTGACAGCCTTGGTCGTAGGTTTCGTACTTGAGCCGCCGTAACGGTTAGGATGCTCTGCTGAGCTTGTCCCCCGAGCGGATATAGATGGGGTACCCGTGGTACCGAAATCAGACAGAGAAAATAGGCGATTTACTTCGGCGTAGAACAAATTGACACTGCTTTTGGGAGAGACTGGATCCATCCCCAAGGAGATAAATTGTATTTTCTTGGTAGGGTTTGGCATATGGCATATAGCAGCATGAACAGAGAAACCAGGCACGTTAGCTGATACAGCATCCCAGCTGTGGACGTTCTGAAGTTCAATCAGCCCTGCCTGCGCAAGGATTGATACTATGCGCTGGAGGTCTAGTTCATCTTCGTTTCGGCGACTCTGAGTTCGGGAACGGATGATGATCCTCTTATCTTTAGAAGCTTCAACGAGGACCATCTTTGTTAAGCTATCGTTCGCGATCATTAACGAGACCAGCAGCTGTCGCAGTTCATCCCATTGCCGATCCAATTCATCATGTCTTTGCAATGCCAAGGCGCGATTTTTCACTCGCACGGGCATGTTTCCAAACAAATCATTGACCGTAACGCTAGTTCCATGACTGCTGAGCCTGAGCTCCTGTTGAACTGGAGCTGGTAACAGCCGTGCGACCGGAGTTGAATGATGGAACATGATGGTATTTGTGTTGGGGTGGCGAACATGGTGCGAAGTGATGGTCAGCAGCGAAAGTGAAGCCAACGAGGCTAGAAACAGCCCCTTCTGACCATATACACCAGTATCGGTATGGTATTTTGACGTATCTGCCGCTGAGTGAGCGAATAACTCTGTAGTCGATGCACATTCAACTTACAGTGTGCCTTCCCTAAGCCTCCGCTGGGCTCGAACTCGGTTGGAAGAATACCATCACCGTTGTCATCCACCTTACAGCCCCCACGTTGAAAGTCTACCGTCACAGAGACTGTGTGGGCATTTGCGTCCAACGCGTTCTTCACTAGTTCGACGATCACCCCGTTTAGGTGCGTGATGGATGTGGAAGATTTGAGCTTCGCTACCACTTCGGGCGGCAGGGGCTCAATCCTGCGACTGTTCCCAGACATTGCAGATGGTCAAAATCATATGTACATAACCTACAGAAAGTGATGTCCGCCACATATTGCCCTCCCGGGGATTCAAGTTACCTCCATGGCATATAGGCTATCAAGAAAGTATGTTAGGAAGAGGAAAGAAGGAGAGGCGGGAGTTGCTACCATATCAGAATGAAGGTGTTCGTTCCCCACGCTCTGGCTAAACTATCATAATTTTTAGCGCTGCCGGCTTCCCGTCGTGACCATGGTCCAATGGTAGGGCGTATATCTACTCCGTAGTGGACATCACTACTAAATCACTCGATCTAACTATCCAGAATATCCTTCGATAGTTCTGATCCTTTCTTCAACTTTAGTTTTATTTTATTTGTAGATATTTATTCCCGATTACCAACTAGGAGGTAGTAATAGTAGATATGCAATGACCTAACCAACTTAATGAACTTTGCTTCTGCGGAAGGGTAACCTAGCAAATAGGGAACAAGTATGGTTAGAACTTCGCCTTGCCTGGGAATTAGTCGGAGTATCTGCACAACCCAAAAGTCCAGAGTTTAATCGGTGGTGACGAAAGGGATGGTGTAAGATACGCGCAATCCTTGCAGGAGCCAAGCCTCTCAAGTTTCAAGACGACCATGAATAGCAACATTTGACGACAGCCACTACGATCGTCCTCTCTAGTGAGAAGGCTGGTACATGCAATCCGTGGTTGGAGAAGAAAATCAAAGGCTTTGTTTGACTTTTGGGCCGCTGATGAGGCGGGGATCACGTGCGGCCAGCCCGGCGTCTCCTGCTGAAACTCCTGAGGCAAAGGCAACAACCCAACGTCTTTCTGGCTTTCCAACTTCTCTCTGGTGCGATAACGACTGCTGCTCCTTACCAGATCCTGTTTGCGTGTTGCTACGTTCCTATCTTGGGCTTTAACTTCAAATCTTTGTACTGCGTCTTCGTCCATCTCATATTCCCCGATCTCCTGCCGCTCTTATCTGATCGTCTGCCTTGTCGCATTGACCAGTACCATTTCTAACGACTCAGACACTTTACTGGCCTAGCTGCCTCTCGATACCCTTCGAACGGTTTTGGCTTTCTCGGATTTATACCTGTGCAAGGCCAGAATGGCCACTGCTGAGGGCCCAGCCAGGGCGCATGGTGCGTTTCCCCAAGCGCGATGCCAACGGTGCCTCTAGGCTTAGTGTCTAATGTTTGACTCAGATCGCAATGGGCGCCGTCGCCCATTTTCCAGTTGGATGAAGCGCCTCGCCAATCTCAAGAGCTCGACTGACTCAGGCAGTACTCGTTGGTCTAACAAACGCCCTGCTATACCCAAACACAAACGGAGTCTGAAGAACAACCCCTACCCGCTGTCCGGCACAGTCAACATCCATGAATATAGCAGTGACAGTAATCCATCTGACTTCAGTGACAGCAATGAACAAAGGTCGTGTTCGCAGAGCGAGCCGTCCCTGGCGTACTCCGGGTGCGACAATCAAGTGCCGGCGACCAGTGCAAAGTCTACCGCGCCAACTATCTCTACAAACGGTGACACGGCGATCTCAGATGCTGCGTATTCCAAGGCCGGAACAATGGCAACGGTGGGCGGTGGGATCAGTTCCCATGGAGGAGGGGAAGGAAGTACCTTCTCCTCCCCAGCACCGTCAGTACGGTCGCTAACCACCACTTTAACCACCGTTCAATCGGCGGCACCTTCCGGTCATCTTTATAATACGCAGAATACGAACCACGGTATACATCATACAAACTCGATGCATAGCACTACAACACAACAAGTGCAGTTTTCACATCAATTCCCTCCTTCTCCGGCTACCGCAGTCCCGCCCCACCTTGCCCCTCACGGTCACTCCGTTACGTACAGTACTGCGACTGCAAACAACCTTTTGACTGACAACGCCTCTATCCTTACTCTGGCATCGTCCTCCAAGAGACGTCGACGGAACTCATTGGATACCAACGCCTCAATACGTGCCCTCGCCCCTTCGAGTGTTTTCGGTGGTAGCCGGGAAAGTCTGCCATTAAGCGTACTGAGCGGGAATGTGGGAGAGCCGTCGAATACCTCCACATTCAACGCCCCCGGAGTGCTCAACCGACCGAGTATAGTTGGCCTAGCTAGTGCGGAGCGGATCAGCATCTATTCAGCCTCTGCCGCAACACCTATAAACGGAGGCGGTGAACGCGGGAGCCTGTATGTGAACAAGCCAAGCCCGGGCGTTGGGGATGGTGCCAGTTTTATAAGTGCGGGCCAGTCACACAGTCGGCATGACAGTAACGCGGCGAGTATCTCCGGGGGTGCTGGGACCATGGTCAATGCGATATCAACCGGACGTATCAGCCGCCGAGGTTCGGGATGGGGAGAAATCACGGGCGATGAAAGTGACGAGGAGAAGCCGAGAGATCGAAAGGAGGAAGAAGAGCTTGAGATCAAGTCCGAAGTGCCGGGGGAGGCAAAGAAGGGCTAGCTTCACGACCGATGGTTGTCCCAGCTTGTGATTGGGGCGATTTGAGATGATGTTACGGACTCGAGGAACTGAATTTCCATGTATAATTTCCGTTCACATGATGACTAATGCAAAGAAGGTAAGGTAGAGAACGTTTATGAGGGAGTTGGTTGGGAGTTTGATTTTTCTTTCTTTATTTGGATTCATGCCAGTTCTTCGGGTGGTGAATAGGGTATTTGGACGGACTGCTGATGGACTTGATATCCCCTGCGAATGAGTTTCACTGTCATTTTTTCATTATATTTTCAATTTTCACAGTATAATAACATGCTAGTCCAGTAATCAGACGGGCTGAGAATATAAACAGGGAATAGAAATAAATGTTCTCCATCACAAGGTTATTGACTTCCGAGGCCATTCAATCAAGATGATAATAATAATAATAGAAAGTACGGAGTAGTGTTGAGTATCACGTGAGAGAGCTCCTCCACTGGGTGATTTTTATAATTATTTTTTTTTTATTTTCGCCCCCATCTGGGGATCAGTAAGCATAAAACCCTTAACTAAAAATGAACCCAAACTAAACTCCAATCAGGTATGAACTCGATCGTACCTCTGGCTTAAATCGAGTTCAAACTTCAGCATCACAACCTGAAGATTTCATGCACATACTACTGTACATGAGACCAATGCAAGGGAAGGCATTTTGAATTTGGTTGAGAGTGGGTCGGCGCACGACACGGTACCTCAATGTTTCTGGGTTCCTGAGCACAGTCCCCTTTCAGCTCTGGTGAATATGATAGGCTCGGCGCTGATGAGAAAATCCATATTTTATTATCAATGGAATAGAGTTTGATTCAGTCCCTAGGTACAATTATGGATCACCTGATTTGTGCTCGGTTCTCCGGTCTTCGATTTCTGAAGAATTGAAAAAGCGGCGCTGGAGGATCGGAGGAGATTCTTTACATGTACATACAATACCAATCGAGCAACTTTCACCCCTGAAGCTGGAGGTATGGTTTCTTTCCAATAGCCGAGGTAGTGGCAGAGATTTTCACGCCAGATCGTCCGTTATGGCAGCCCTCGAGCCCAAAAAGACCGTCGCCATCATCGGCTCTGGAATGGCAGGGCTGGTGTCGGCATACTTGATCCAGCAAGACCGCAAACGCAGATATGAGGTGGAGGTGTTTGAAATGGTACTTTCGAATACTTGATATGCCCTTTAGTTAACGTGGACTAAACAACCCCTACAGCAAGATCAGTTGTCTCTGGACTCTGCCTCGTACACTATAACTTCACAAGATCGTCATACGTATCGGGTTGATGTACCCATGCGCGCATTTGATGATGGCTTTCATAACAACCTCAAATTGATGTATGATCATCTCGGTGTAAAATACGCGTCGCCGAAATTCATATATCCGCTGTCTACCATTTCCACAACGGATGGAAAGAAGCTGCCTCCACACTTCATCCACTCATCTAGCAATCACCAAGTACCACCTATCCGACCTGAAGGTTGCGGTTACGTCGAATGGATACTCCGAATCTTGTATCTGGCCGTATGCTATTTCTGGTTTACGGCTTGTTGCTTCCTGGTTGAACCCAGACCAGCCACTCCCTCCCATGAAGGTGAATCATTACGAGAATACCTCTGGCGGATTCGACTACCACGGTACTTCATCAACACCTATTTTCTACCGTTACTGTCCAGCGTGACAACTTGCTCACACAGTGAGCTTCTTGATTTTCCCGCGATCGACGCTGTGGATTATGCGAAGAGAACATATCGCCAGCCGCACTATACCGTTGTCGGAGGCGTTCAAAATGTCCAGACCAAGATTACCAACGGCCAATCTGTAAGGCTCGGCGCAATCGTTACCCAAGTCGAAAATGTTGGTTCGAAGGTCCAGGTCACATGGACCGACTCGAAAAGCAAGGAGGTCCATTCCAAACAATTCGATCACGTCGTGATGGCGGTGACTCCGAACGTGGTTGGCGCAATCTACGAACCTCTACGAAAACTCATGAGCTCAATCCCTGTGAACCACGGAGAGGCGGTGGTTCACCGTGACAGATCTTCTATCCCGGATTGTAGCCAGTCACTGGGCAGGTTCGCCGCAAAAGCCCGGCAATCTGTGGACCCGACTCAAATTCTGCACATCTGCTCCAACTCCTCGGCAACGGAGGCGATACATGAACATCCGTGTTCCGTTCTAGTGACAAGTTTTCCGATCGCTCCTATAGACCCCACTAAGGTTATCCATCGCGCGCGACTAACCCGCGTTCTACGAACCCCGCAAAGCAGGAAGATTGTCAACCGGATATTCGGCGGAAATCTCCAACATGCATACCAAGAGAAGGAGAAGATCTGGCTTAATGGCACCGGGAACGTTTGGCTTGCTGGCGCCTGGTGCTGGGACGGAATGGTCCTGCTCGAGGGATGCGTCGTTTCCGCCATGAGAGTTGCCGCAAGCCTAGATGTTGAAGTTCCATGGCCAATGGGCCAATGACTACGTTTTGAACGATGTTCTACAGTGACGAAATGATGTATATACAGACAGGTATACTTATAAGTTGCCGTCTATTCACATAATTCTGCCAGTTCAGGAAATATTGGCATCCTTGCATCCAACATAGTTAATGTTACACCTATCTTCACATGCTACACTTTTAAGATACATAACCGACTGTTTTGCCGAAGAGCCGCGGTGCGAGGATGCACTACCCTTGATTGCGAGCTACCACCACAAACCCTCGTAATACCCCAGTCTTTGCCCACCAATTAAATGCCTTCGCGGCTCCCTTGAACTTGCCCACGGTCATCCCATATCGCTTGAGCTCCGCGTCTTGTTTTCGTATGTAGTTTGCAATGCCTGCGAAGACGTGTTCTGAGATATCCCTCGTCTCAATCATATCATGCTCATACCCAGCCTGGACCAGCATACTCATGTATTCCTCCTCCGTAAGGAAGTTCGAATAGGGCATACCGGATATAAGACACATCAGTCGTAAAACTAGCTTTTCCCATAACGACGCAGATTCCGAGATCAGAAGGTCGAATGCCATGATTGAAGCCCGCATATCTCGACATGCATATTTAAGCAACGGGTCTCGAGACGGCTTGTAGTGATACATCGTATCTAGGGCTAGCAGCCACCTTTGTGTCTTCTCGCTCCCTATATCCGTGCTAGTGGCTTCATTCTTGCTCTCAGCATGACCAGAGTTGCCCAGAGCAGCTTGCTGAAGCTCATTCCCCCAAGACGAAGGATCCGCTGCGTCGGCGGCAAAAATTTTCACATCTGGTGTCCAAGTTGCAGAAATTTCGGAACCCCCTGTGGTGTTCTTTGAGAGTCTTTCTTGAGCAAAATCTGCTTGAGATTGCTCAATAGTCACGCCCACGTATGAGTCGAACAGCGGTCGGCTTTCGTGATTGCTCGACCCTCGTCTCTTCCTCATCTCGCTGCTATGGACACCGCTACCGTTATCGACAGCTGTCTTGATCCCATTGGAAGAGGTAGTAGTGACGGAGTCAGTACTGACGCTAGAGAGTCTTCTTGTCAGGTATAAGGACTGGTCGCCGCAGCCAATCCCAACATCAACCAACCCAATGTTTTGGTGATATGCTTTGATGGGTGTGCCATCTTCATTGAGAAGCTTTGCAGCGATGAGGACTTGTTCTAAGAGTGCTTCGCAAGCTTTAGTAAAAGAGCTCGTATTCTAGAATTTTGGTTTTAATTTTCTTCCAACAAAAGCTAGACGCATAGGAATATCGAGATACTGAGCAAAAGACAGAAAAGGGTCTCAAATACTCATTCTTACATACCTTCCAATATCCCATGTTCATCCACATGCTTCTAGGGGGGACTTCCATGCTAAGAATGGCATGGTCCAATGAATACAGCATTTTGTCATCGACACCAATTATGTACTGGATAACACGCTCAATGACACCTAGCACCATGGCTAGGAGACCTTTTATTTGCTTCATAGTCTGGAGGTACACCTAATGATCAGTATTTGTGCTGCATCAGGGGGTTTTCAATAACTGACTAAATGGGACGACAAGAATCAATATCGGACATGGGCCATACGTTTAATTCCACTTTTCTCTCGGAACTTCCTACTATGTGCAGCAAGGCGGGTACAATGATGATTGTTAGAACTAGGAGAGTCGGAAACGGCTTTTGATTGATAGACGCTTCAAAGTTGCTATTTCTTGGCATTTATTAGTCACATGCTGTTGGCGTAACTATACAACAGGAAGGATAGTTGATTTGAGAGACGCAGCATATTTGACTTACACTTTTCTATATCTATTGTTTCTTTGAGCTCTAGATTCCAGGGGAACTACGGCTAAGATATGCATCCTTGGATTGGACCGAGTTGGGTTTACTGGGAAAGTAATGATACATTGTAGACAGTTGCTTGAAACTAATTTTCAGACCAAATGTTGGCTTCTCCAGAGTCTAGATAAATACCATGGCTTTGGACTAATTTGCCAGCCCAGTGGTCTCCAAATGAGTGTATGACGGCGGCACAGAGGCAATTGAGCAACCAGTCATTGGTATATCCTTCGACCAACAATACCCAACTTCATATATGCAGGGATTGATATCCATCCAACCTTTCCTATAGCCAAGTTCATACAAGTAGATTCACAATGCAACACCATAGGGTATAAAACATAAAATCGCATACATTGACAGAATGGCTAAAAGGCTAGTTGTGCCTGGCATAAAGATTGGAATATACTTCCTATTCGGGTTAAATTCTCCATCTTCAATGTATTCACCAATTGCCAAGTCGCACCTTAGCTAGGCTTTGATACACCTATAGCCGAATTTATTTCCGGGTAGACTTGATTCGGGCATATCCTACGGAGTATACCCTCAGTGAGGATGAAACTACCCTGACCAATGAGCTAGTTAGCTGCAAGGCATTTTTGAAGGCGGATAGCCATGCAGATCAAAGTCACTATGTACGAGCTTGAAGGAAACATCCGCCAGATTGCTGAGTGGATGGTTGAAGACCTTGACTAGGGCTTACATCCCTGAATCTATAATGAAGAGTAACGAGGTAAATCCACCCACGTGGGAATAATATGCCGTTGTCTACTATAGGATCATAAGATTTCTAATCCGGGCAGGGTATCACTATCAACCACGGCTAGGATAATCATAGGCTTTTTTTTTTTTTTTTTTTTTTTTGAAACGAGGAACTTCTCGTCAGATGTTAGTGTTATTGATAAGTATTGTGAAGGTGTGGATGCTGGTAAGCAGGCAGAGGTTGAACAATACTCGAGAGCCATGGATCAGTCCGAGATAAATTCATAAATTTACCGAAAGCCTACTCGAGTAGTTTAGGGCTACCTAGGCAGTTAGAGCAGGCAGCGGAAAACCAGAGAGGAGTCTCAAGGGAAAAAGCAAAACAGGCCACTTCTACAAACTAATCCAAGTGGGATGCAACTAAATTAGTAGTATATGATGTGATCGGATCACTTACTCGATTCGTTTTTTTTTTTTTTTTAGAAGACTGATACTGGAGATATTTGCAGAATAGGAATAAGAAATAAGGATAGAAGAATATAACTTATTATTTTGTATAGTTCTACTAGTAGTAGATATTGAACATGTCGGGATCAGTCGGCCTCTACTCGGCAATACTGCGGCCCGTTGAACTCGTCGATCACGCAGGAACCAAGATGGATTGGTAAGCAATTTTGAGTGATTTCTTTTTGTTTCGCGCGAACCGCGCATCGGGCAAACCTAAGCAGTGCCCTAGTTCCAGTATCCTACAGCCTCAGCTCCCTCCACTAACCAGAATAACCGGCGGGCGCACGGAACTTTTTGACTCTAATACGAGGTTGCCTGTGGGCGACGGACCACGGAGTACTAAGATGTATACAATGTATTCCGGAGTATGTACATATAGTACATACTACAGCGGAATACAAGAGAAGTCTGTGAGGGAGGTACACATGCCATCTGGCGAGGAATGAATCAAAAAGAAAGAGAAAGAGAAAGAGAAGAGAATAACAAAAAAATTAAAGAAAGAAAGAAGGGAAGGGAACGAAACAATAAGTAAAATTATAAAAAAAAAACCACGATTACCTTTAACAGTAATTGCTTGATACGAAACTTAATCTCCGATAGTAAGAAATACTATCATTGTTAGGTCAGAGACTCAGTCCGGTTTAATTCAATGGTTCTTTTGGTTCCGCATGCCGACTTCGGCCACCGAGAGAGGATGATTCGGAATCGATGTCATGGCCGCGGAAGATGGTGGCGACCGAGGAATCCTGGTCTTCAACTCCATAAATAAATATCCTTGGATTTCTGGTGATCACGATGTTATATCATCGTTCAATCTGTAGTACTCCGTAGTTTAAAGGAGAAGAGCAATGGACTAGAATAGAAGTATAACCCATTGTGGACCATCATGGGAGTTGGTTGTGTGTGCACGGTTATTCCTTTGTAGAGAAAGATAATTACCGATTGATATGACAAAGCACCAACCACACTTAACTCAATTGGTTAACGGTTTCCCTTCTCCCCCCCCAAGTGCTTAATCAGCTTTTTCGCACCCCCACCCGAACAAATTCCATTCCCCATCGCCCATCTCCGGTCCCACGTCCCACAGTCATTCGATCGTTTCTTGTTTCCCCTCTCTTTCCTCCCCTTCTCTCTTTGACTAACCATACTTCTTTTTTACTCCGTCATTCTGCCTCGCAATTGCCAATCGACCCCTCTCGACTTGTACGCGGTTAAGGCGGCCACCAGCGAAAGAGAGCATTATCGCTCCGGAACTATATATCGTTCGGGTCATTTTCCCTCGATCAGCCAGCGGAACCAAAGGAACATAAGGAAAGAAGGAAACTGAAAGGAATATCGAAAATAGAGGTCTCAAAAGCCTCAACGGTACGCCATGACCGAATACAATGGCCGCAGGGCCCCCAACTTCTCTCAATACCTCGACGACCTGAACGCTATCCCATCGCCATACGATCAGGCTGTCCAGCAGCAGCAGCAGCAGGGCTCATACAACCTCGATGCAGACCTCTCCCTCTTCACCAATGCCGAGTTCTTCGATTTTGATAACTTTGGGGATTTGAACCTCCCCGGGTTTGACTCGGTGGAGAGCGACAACTTGAAGAAGAAGGAAAGCAACCAAGCCACGGGCCACAACTCAGATATGGAATTCTTGGATCTTCTCGGTGGTAAGTTGGAAGTTCTTTTATAAACTATACTATCCCTATTGTTTTTGGACCGGAGCTGGAGGAACTACCGGTCGCATTTTGTTGGGACCCATTCGGTCTTTTTTTTTTTTTTTTTTTTTTCCTACACACCGGATTTGGTTTACCTTACACTGGGCGAGTCTGTTGTTTCTGTCACACGTTTCCTGTTTTCTCCATGTGCACCCGTTATTTCAGGATATCGTCATGGGGTCCATGGACCCATTTGCACAATGCCTGTCTCGGATCATCGAGGCATAGATACATCCTCCAAGCCACACGCCATTTGCACGCGCCCTCATTGGAGCATGCCTGCATTTAACCCCTGTTAAGCGATGATCAAGTTCAAAAATTATCTGTGCAACTAGCAAGGGTCTCGGGTTGGTGCCGATAGCGTGAACCCATTGCACTATGGCGTCATTCCACGTGACCTGATCGCTACGGTCGCATTCGGCTTCATGGGGTCATCTCTCGTCTGCGTTCATGTTATTTGCCTTTTCATTGGCTCAGTCTTGCAATAGCTTTACTTTGATTTGACAATGATCATGTTCTAACTCTGCTTCAAGGCTTTGGCAACATGCCCGAGTATTCAGCTACCGGCTTCAACTCCGTCAATGCTCAGCCCCAACCTGCATCTCTTCAGAATGCACAGTTCTCGACTGTCCCACAGATGCCGAATGGATCCCTTAATGCTGCCTCTAGCCCTAACGAGTCCATCTCGACCTCATCACCTTCGCCTGCAGCACAATCGCAGGCCCCCGCTCCCCCTGCCTCTACCTCGTCTTCCGCCGTCGGACCGAAGCGTAAGAACACCCAGAAGTCGGCTGCTATGAGTGTGGAGGAGGCAGCGCGGGTTGCAGCAGAGGAGGATAAGCGTCGGCGTAATACTGCTGCCAGTGCGCGGTTCCGCGTGAAGAAGAAGATGCGTGAGCAGGCACTTGAAAAGACTGTCAAGGAGACAACGGAAAAGAATACTGCGCTTGAGGCCCGCGTCACTGCTTTGGAGCTTGAAAACCAGTGGTTGAAGAATCTGATCACAGAGAAGAACGGGCAATCATCTGAGGAAGGCAAAAAGTCTGAAAATGATATTGCGGACATGTTCAAGAAGTTCCTTGCTTCGCAAAAGGCTGAGGGCCAACGGAATAGTGCTGAGTCGAGGATCGGTGTGGGCACTGCTTAAATGGAATCCAAGTAAAGTTACGCTGATTGAATGGCGTTATGTCATTGTGTTTATGCTCAGGCTTTCACTTCTTGTTCATACTTAATTGGAGCATTAGGAGACTGGGGAAGGCGTCTCACGGAGCAAGGGTTGGTGGGAGGCATGAGTGATGATTTTTCAAACGTTTGATGGTTCAGACTCCACTCCAACGTGGTAAAAAAAAGATGGTTTGTTTATTCTTTGGCTTCTCACGTTTTATATCCCAGTCTATAGGTATTTCAACATTCTACAATAGATGGCTATGTGCAGCCTACATAGCTGCCAAGTTTTAATCATATCGATATCATCCACCATGGACTATTCCATAACACTCTAGATGCTAGGGCAAGCTTCTATCAGAACTCCAAAAGCAAGGCGAAGAATAGAAAGAAAGAGGTCCCTGTTATTTCTGGTGAAGCTAAAGAGGTTCTCGATAGTGCGCAGGACCTATGCTTTGCTGCCACGCGGGTTTCAGCAGATACCATGAAACAGCTTGTAAAACGTCTATCAAGCTATTCTGCTAGAGGGGTTTGGAGAAACCTTCAGCTGAAAGGTCAGTTCCAAATTCATAGTCTTGCTATGCATACATGGTGGGAGAAGATACGCACATTTATTTGGTAGAAGCTGTGTGTTACCTTTGAATCCAGCAAGATAATGAGCAGATGCAGACCCCTACCTAGGGTATTGTCACAGAGTAAGGTGAAGCATTCAAGACCTCTAGTGCCGAGCGACATACGTCAGCCTGACCAGCCTACACAAATATACACACAGTATGCATTTTTTATGTCGAATCTCTCTTTCGGCATTGTTGATGTAGCTGAAACTATACAGTTATGTAGTGAGTGTATCTTATCGACGATCATCATGTCCCTATCACCACGTGACCGTATTTGTTGATGGACCGTGCAAATGAAGTCGTCTTAAGACCGAAACACCCCACCGTCCATCTTCCAACCATACCTATCACCCCGGTGGGATAATGCGCAAGAACTCAGTGCAGCTATAGACGTCACACCAAGCAGCGACCGAACCAATGGCGCGTCTAAGGACAGTCCGCGCCCCCACAACCGCGAGTCTTCCCAGCAACCTCCGCATCCCCTCAACAACGCCATCGCTGGTGAAGTCATTCGGAAAGCTCTCCCGACAGGCATTGCTGGACCTCGTGTTCTACTGGCTGGACGATCGCAATGTCCAGTCCTTCGCGCCATTCCTGGAACGAGACGAAGCCGAAGGCGTGGACGACGAAGAACTCGGCCCGTACCCGGCCGAGCGGACTATCGACGACGTGCGTAATGCATACCAGGAGCTACAGGTGCGAAAGGGCGGGAAACGAGAAGTGATTGATCGCATACTCGAGGGCGACTGGAGACACGGTATCACCTTGCGCCAGCTTGCGATGGTTGATCTCCGCTACATGGATGACCACCCGTCAAGTTTGCGCTGGACGGCGCTGGAGCTCACTCGCATCGACGCAGATGGAGCGCAATCGCCCGAAACCGACGTTTCCTCCTATATTCCATGTGTTCATGCCTCGACCTTCCTTAATAATGTTCAGCAGCAAATCTCCCCTCTGGTGAAAGCGCATTACTACCTCGCCCGCTCTAATACCTTGCCCCTCACTTTCCTTCGCATATTGGTGACCAATTCGCCCTATCAGCATCCTCGCCAGCCACCTGAGATGCTTACAGACTCGTCAAGAGTGATATATGTTGCTTTCCCGGATAGTTGCCCCTTCGTTTACACGTCCATTGCATCTTCTACGAGCTCCAAAGCCTCCTCCACCAATGCGGTCGCAACAGATGCCCGGAGTTTACAGCGCATCGTGCGCGACGCCGTCCCGAAAGCGCTATCTCTCCCTCAACGAAGATACGCCCTTAAAGCAACGTCATTGTCAGCGAAGAGTCTACAGGCACTATTAGCGCTCCGAGGACCAGGTCGCTCGAACGGAGCGAATGGCGCGTTCAGCATATTCGCCGATGCCGTGGTAGAAGGGAGTCCGCTGGACCCACGACCAGCGAATACAGTTTCCCCCGAGGAACTCATGAACCAAAATGAACCAGAGAAAAATAAGAATCAACCCCCAGAAGATCAGAAAGAAAACGAAACACACCAACCAGGAAGAAAACCCCGCAACTCAGAAGACACCCACATTCCGAAAAAGCGCAAGCTTGCCATCCACTCGCGCTTCGGAACTTCTGGGTCTCTGTCATCCGCGCCTCTGGACCGTCTTGACGTTAGGCTTCTGGACCGCCCTGATGGAGATGGAGATGATGAGGATAGCGATACCGAACACGCACAAGCGTCCCTCTCACTTACGTTTGCCGGCTCGGATGTTATCAGCGGGATTCGTAAGCTCGCAGAACTGGGTGTCGTTGATCCAGAGAGAATGCCTTCCTGGATGACGGGTGAAGAGGCTGTCAGCGTCGCGGTGGTTCGTGGGGGACGGCGTGTGATCAAGGATAGTGGATGAAATGGGAAAGTCATTGACCTAATGCATACTTTCACGTTCCCCGTGACATGACGTGACGAACTGGGGTTCACGCGTCTCTTGCGGCAGGAGTCGCTTTTGAGCGATATATACTTGTATATGCCCGTGCGCGGTCCGGATCAGGCAGTCTGCAATCCGCGAAAGTTCCACCTCTCATCCCTGTCTATGTCCTTCCCTTGACAAGGGTTTAGACCTTATCGGGTACAACGAGACAAGGCCACCGCCATGGTGTGGGAAGGTAACACGGTGGAGGTTTATCTATTTGGATGTGAACGAGTGGATGGTGAGCGGGAGCTTTCTCGTGCGCTTGAGAGCGGATGCCTACTTGCGCCATATGGCTAAGAAGTTTCTGAAACCAACCGAACATTTGTGTTGTCAAATTGCATAGTATTTCCCAATAGCATTCTTGGTAAGCAATAACTCCAGGGTATCTAGCTAGTCCTGAAAAGAAATAAACTACAAACGCCCATACAACTTCCAATAGGTAACAAACTTCTCACTGCGCACCACAGTTGCCGCCAGACCCTAGCGGGCTACGCATCGGATGCTAGTACCACACAGCTTCATCTCGGTCAACGATGAAACGCCTGCGACTACGCGAACCATAAAGATACGATTGTCGGGAGACCCAGAAAGGATGATATGTTGAATAGTCTAGGGGAAAGAGTGTCAGTATGTGTCTGGAAACAAGGGAAAGGGGATGATGAGGGTGACTACAAAGATGGTCTCGTACCGCGTTGACCGGAAAGGCCTAGCTGACTAGCCACATTAATGTATCCTTCTGCAGTCGCTTGTCCCTGAGCTCTGAGCTGCTCCAAGTTCACGTCGCTGGTATCTGCCTGCCATGGGGAACGGCTGATAAAGTCTTAGTTCTAATCTAATAGCCGAGGAATGCGCAATAAAACGTACCAATAAACGCAGCGAACACCTTGAGAATGTTGTGTGACAGCCCATTGTTGGAAGCATGTTTTGTGGATATTATTTCCGCACGCCGCTCGACACCAGACGATCTCCTCTCTGTCAGGTTCAAATTCCATGAAGCAGATCGGGCACTCTCCTTCAACGGCCTTCCTCTTGCCACCGTTGTCATCGTCAACCTTTGTCTGCTCACGACTCAAAGAAGATCCTTCATAAATCTCACGAAGCTCCTGAGTAAGCAGTATTAGGATAGGAAGTGTACAGTGATGCGCGCTGAATAACTTACCATAGATAAGAATGCCAGCTGATACTGTAGGTGTTGCGGGGCTTTGAGGACATTGACTAGAACTTCACGGGTACGGTTATCAAAAACCATATGAACGCCAATAATGATACAATTAAAAACAATAGTAGTATTAGGAATGGTGGCAGCACATGAATTCAACTTACCGTAACAAATATGCTTGCATTGGTTCCCTTTTCGGGCATCCGGACAGGTGCAGGTCGGCTCCTTCCCGATCACTGTCTTGTAGATGTTTCCAGTTGTCCCAGCAATGTCAAAACTCATCTCGGGAGCATCATTAACGCCGGTGACAGTATGTCCTAAGACGAACATTCTAAACAAAAACATCATCAACTGTAAGCGAAGGAATCGACATATGATCTGGATCAACGGCACACCTCTGAGTTGTTGCACGGTTCAATCGCTGCAAGAACGTTTGTGGTGGCTTCCGGCGAAATACTCGAGCTCGACGTTCAGGTATCCCCTCGTCTGGTGATTGCTTGGTCCTTGCGCTTGGGGTCTTCTTTTGTGGACTGGCAACAGGCGAGTCGCCAGTCAAATCGATCACATCCTTCGCGTCCGTAGGAGTCGCTGGACGATCGCCGCTATCTATACAAGTACGTTTCGCAGATCTAGATGCGATACTGGTCTTTTCGTCGGCGTTTCGCTTTCTTCTTGACGTAGGTGTACTTCCAATGTGTGGAGTTCGAGTATGGTCTGCGGGCGACGACGCAGTAGTTATCTGTTGTCTGGAGGAGGATGTCCTCGTAGTACCCATCCTGTCCGAATAGCTAGACTAGACACAATACTAAATATGATAGAATCGAGTATCGAATATTGTTGGCGCAAATAGTCTTCGCTGTGGCGGTCCTGCGGGGAATAGCGAAAGCGATAGCGATAAGCTTTTCCGTTCAGGAGGCTAGCATAATCTTGCGGTCTCCAAATGAATGAATTAATATATCTTGCTCTAGATACGTTTTCTGCAGCTCTGATAGAGACACGGCACTTATGAAATAGTGAGATAAAGTGGAGAGCAATTCAGCGGTACAAAGGGAAGGTTAAAAGCAGGAAAGCAAGCTCTTTGTTATCTATCAATTCCTTCACTGATCCGATGGATCATATGCGGAGGTTTGTGGAGTTTGGTATGTTTGCCTAGTTTGTCTGTCACATGTCATGCTGATAACGATAGAGGGACAAACAACATTCACTACTTTCGACAACACTAAAATATCCCCGTCAGATGCATAGTCATAACTAGTTCACCATTTTACAACAATGGCACGTCCACGCGCCCATTCAGGTGCTGAGGCCTCCAAAGAGCCCCATTCAGTCTCCTTAAAAGGTACGCACTGCTGGTAGTTGTTAAAGGTGGCGCCCTGACTGACATATGCGTAGTTTTGCGGTAAGCAATATGCGATACGTAGATGCCAACTGCCGATCTGACTTTAAAAGGCTATCGCGGCCTTCTCTGTCCTACCAGTACCCTCTTCCGGAAGCAAACACGAAGATCTCCAACAAAGCATCTTTGAGTTATCCTTCCGATAGTGTGGACAACCAGTTTATTCTCGCCCCTAATGTACGACTGCAATGAGAAGTTTCTAGCTTCGACGAAAGAATTATGAGTATCTGCTAACAAATATCCAAAGCTTACATTACCTCCTGCATTTGGGTCTGCTTATGTTGGAGAAACATTTGCTTGCACTCTTAGTGCGAACAATGAGCTCACAGAAGACGAGACCTCGCGTGTTGTCACGTCAGTTCGCATCGTGGCGGAGATGCAAACTCCATCTCAAGTAGCATCTCTAGAGCTAGACCCAGCGGATGACACAGCTGTGAGAGATGGCCTACAAAAAGGGCAATCATTACAGAAGATCGTACGATTTGATCTTAAGGAAGAAGGGAACCATATCTTGGCGGTCAGTGTTAGCTACACGGAAACGCTAATTGGATCAGACTCGCAAGCGGCCAGTGGGCGAGTGAGGACTTTTCGCAAACTCTATCAGTTCGTTGCACAGCCTTGTCTTAGTGTTCGTACAAAGTCGTCCGAGTTGTCCCCGTTAGAGGTCGAGAATAAGTCTTTAGGGCCCTATGGAAAGACTCGGCTACTCCGCTTTGCCCTCGAAGCGCAGTTAGAGAATGTGGGTGATGGTGCCGTGGTTGTGAAGGTAGAGAGAAAAAAAAGACTTCGTTTTAATACTTGGGACTCTAATGCCTTCGGTAGCAAACGAAACTGAACCCCAAACCCCCGTTCAAGGCAACCTCCTTGAATTGGGATCTCGCGAGGCCGGATCAGTCCGATTCACAACCGCCGACATTAAATCCACGTGACGTCCTCCAGGTTGCTTTCCTCGTTGAGCAAGAAGAAGGACAACAGGAAGGGCTAGATGCCCTACAGAAAGATCTGAAACATGACGGGCGAGCGGTTCTAGGGCAATTGTCCATTGAGTGGAGGGGGACTATGGGAGATAAAGGGTTCTTGACGACCGGAAACTTATTGACGCGAAGACGGACATAGTATTTACGAGGCTTAAGCTGGCCATTCTTCGGTGTAACCTACACGCCTATCATCACAAGCTCTAGGGGAATTGCCGGTCTTTAGAGAATTTTGCTCGAAACAGTTGATTTGCGATCTTGTGCTGCGGTAATGGCGCGCAGTACTAAAGACTTGGGATAGATGACCAATTGGCGAGATAAGCTTTGGACTGTTCCAGGGCGGATGGCCAAGCTCCAGACGTGCCACAAGTGCAACAGATCTAAGCGCAGCCACATTTTGAATTCCTTTGCGGCGGTCAAGTTACACGCACTAACATGAGGTTGGAACGACTAGTAGTTGGCTTAGCCGTGAGCTGCCAAAAGTACGGTGGAGTTTGATGGCAAGAGAAATGCCCAGCCTTGTCCAAATTGAGATATCCATTGTGTTTACCTACTCCTCTTTGATATGATGGCATGCAGTGTCGAGGCCCTGTGACGTGAGTTTGACTAAGCTTTGCTGGAACTTTGGTTGGAAAAGTATCTGGCGATAATCTCAGCCGAGGTCTAGAAGCCGAAAGACAACAACCTTTGCAAACGCTCATTGGTCTTTTTTGACCGCAACATGCATCATGAAACCGGTATTTTGTCTCTGTCAGCAGTCTAGAACCCCTTGCCGGACATATTTGCATTCCATTTTTCTATAAAAAGGTATCAGCATGTATGGATCATATCTTTAGTACCGTGGTTATTAAATCCCAGCCCAAGGCCGATGGGCTTAAGAAGTGAGCGGTGGCATAGCTCAGGAAGAAGCTATTCCTGAATATCTATGGCTAGAACAATTTCTGGGAAAAATTTTAATGCTTCCAAGAGGCGTGGAGATAGTAGTAGGAAGACGTACCATACAGTACGGTATTTATGGACTTCCCCAAGACGGGAGATATGATACGCGCCTCAGGCACCAACCACCCCCTTTTTCAGCTGTCAGTAATGCACGTTTCCACTACGCATAACCAGCCAACGGAGCCAAAAGTCCACCCTGCTGGCCTGTACGGAGTGAAGGTTGCTCTTTCTGTATGACAGCAAGTAGTACACCCTAGCGCGGGGGACTAGTCGCGCGACAAGACAAGGCCACTTATCAGCGATGGTTCGCAGTGAGCCCGCTCTTCCTCAGAGGACGTACCAAAGATGTTCGATGACCATGTATGATGCATGCTGCATGCCAATGCAGGTCGAACAGGCCGGTAGGGGAGTAGCGTCATGTAAGGAACAAAGTCCTGTAACTTAACAGCCGTTCCTCTATCCATGGATTTTCATGGTCAATGGTATTTTCTGATTGAATATTGAGTAGGCGGTCATTCCCAAGTTTGCGCAGGGAGATCCAGCTTGGGTTAGATCTACATGGTACTTAATACGCCGTGAGTCATGATGAAACCGTCTAAAGTACACCTCATGGTTCTATAACGGGAATGTTTATCTCCTTCTGTACTCTATACAGGCATGGACGGTTCAATTCGGAGAGAGAAACTCTTGGTTGCATGTTGCCTCAGTGACTGGAAGATTCCATTGTCTATGATTATCTTGATCCTTGACTCTTAATCTAGTGAACTGCCAATTATACCCGGTGAACCATTCCCTTCTTTGTTCTGATTTTTCTCACCAATCATCCGCTTCCTGTCCATGGATGAAATTCGGATGACTCTCTAATTATCATTGAGATCCACTGATGATCGGCACGGCCCTGGATTAAGCGTTCCTAACCACTATAAGTATTATTGGCGACTTTGACAAAGATGAATACAGGGTTCTGCACAGTATACTCCGTAGATAGAGTAACAATCACACCACAGTTTTACCGATATATGGAATATACACCACCACCTCCTTTTTCTCATTGGGATGCTAGTAGTGATGTTTGTTTACCAGCCAAGACCTCCGGTTTGTAAAAATCTCATGATAATGAATAATAGTAATCCACAATGTGGGTGGTAAGAAACAGACGAGATAATAATAGCACCTTGAGTATGGGTGATATAACCAAATTTATGCCTTTCTGATCTTTTCATTCTCTCGGTAGAGGTTCCAGTGGACAACGTACTGTATGGACAGATATGATACAGTACCATAATTAGCCTCTAACCTCGGCAGAACCCGTCCCCTACGCTACGGAGTACATGGAGAGGAGGAAATCGGCCTTAGGTGCCCTCTTTAGGCAACTCCATTGGACAGTTGACGATGGAGTCCCCAATGTCTGTCTACCATTTGGTTCCATGAATGACTCTCCTCAAGGGGATTCCGGCCAATCATGGTAAGAGGCAAGCCATCTCCAGACCATGGAGACTCCGCTATGCCAAATTCTCGGTCTCGGTAGGCTAGGGCGGATGGACTTGTTTATAGTAACGGCCCCTCTTCAGGAAGAGACTACGTAGTTAGTGTAAAGAGAGTCTCGGGTGTGGAAATACCACCTTACTCCTGGAGTATAGTTCCTATCACGGAGTGGATTGACACCACTCAGGTGAAAGGCAGTCCGATCCGATCGGGAAAAAGTCCAGGACGATCCAAGACATAAAAAAACCCTAAGAGCGGTATCTATCTTAGTGTCAGGATTGGCATTATAAAAAGAAAAAAGTTAAGCGACCTATTGTGGTTCATTGTTATTTTCAGACCTCCATTAAAGTAGAGTCACACACACATTGAATGCGGGACCAGTTCCGCCATTCTCTCAGAGTTTTCGGAGGGACGGCAGGTACAGAACACATCCAGACTTTTAGTACAGGGTACACAGCAGGGAGTCGTAATGTTGTGTTTCCATGGTTCTCTTGAACGGTAGTTCTTTCGCAGCAACCTAGCTAGCAGAAACAAATGGGAAATCGAACCATGGCAGGCCAAGCAATTGTGCACGTCTAGGCTCCACTGGTCCCAAGGATTGATATTTCTCCTGTCCCCTGGATTTTCTGAAATGATACGACTGGTCTGAGTAGTACACCCTGACATCGGGGAAATTATGCTTAGTTGTTATTATTGTTTTGGTCGCAGCATCTGAAGAAACTAGTCAGAGTCGGCGGTGTACATCTTTGCGTGTGTGGGTGGAAAGTGGGAGAGAGGGTTTGGTGGTTGGATGGGGGGATGGGGGGATGTATCAAAGTTTAGGCGTCTGGAGGTACACTTGCAGTAGTTTGAACCCCATTGGAGATTGATGGCTGTATCTCCTGCATGGATGGGGACCAGGAATCCCTATCGAGTGGCTTAAGCAGATAGATGTTAGTACCTGCACGTTTATTGTTTCCCTTGCCTGGGCTTTTGGGAATATCTCTTTTTTCTATTTCTTTTTTTCTACCTTTTTTTTTTTTTACTCACCCTGAACTTTTTTCGTTTTGAAGAGTGTCTGATGGAATGAATGTAAATAACCAAATTAATTCCTAATTAAACAGGAACAACCTCCCTCCCAACCTTTTTGATTTGCGTTCTTGTTATTTTCATGTTGTCTAATTTATTTGATTATTTTACTTCGATTATGTTTATTGTCTTTCACCTGTCCTTATTTTTTTTTTTTTTCCCTTTTGTGTCTGTGTTTGCTCTGTATAACACGCATCAGTAAGTGGGTACCTACAGCTACTGGCAGCTGGCCCTAAATATCTTAGGTCGTAATAGTAATGGTAATAGTTAGCCGGCAGGGAGGAAGAGACAGGCACAAGGAGCGAAAGTTGTTGTGCACTGACAGTTTACCGGTTGTGCGTGTGCGGAGCGGAGGAGACAGAAAGTAGGAGAGGAAGAGAGACGGACTACCTACTAGTTTTTGGCTGCCGTTTCTCTTTTCCCCCTTCTACTATTTGACTACTTTACTTAGTAGTCTTGTCTACGCAACCATCCGTCTCT